GAACAGCTACTTTATTCCATTAGATTCGAGCGCTTCACAAGTCAACAGTCGAGTACACATGGTTAAAATCATTTGTCAGTAGGCATCCCCATCTCACAGCTGACTTCGAAACCACATTGAGGAGTGGACACCGGTTAAGCGGTCTCGATCAAGTATTAAGCAAAGGAGGAGGCGTATTAAGTAGAACAAAATTAAAATAAGTGATCATATCGCAGTCAGGTGCACGAATCCCCTCCTTTCTATCCCACAGTCGTAACTGAAAGCGCGCTGGATCTTTGAACTTCGAATGAAAGTTGATTAGTTAACAACGTTGGCGCCGGAAATCACTGGCAGTATCCTCTGCGATTTCGAGAGAATTTGATGTAGGCTGATTTCCCGCATAAAGATTAACATCCCGCTCTCGGGTCAATGCTGAACATCCTGCGGGTCGCTGGGACAGTAAAAATAATACAGTGAAGTAAATGAAGGCAGTGCACGAGGCAATCGAAACGCAATCGAAAACCCGTGGTGCGCACCGAATGCAAGGAATAGCTTTTTAGAAGCCACCGGCATGCACGGATTATCGGAATTCTCCTAGAGCGCTGGACAACAACCGAAAAAGAAATTTCGACAGTGGATCTGCAGTAGAAGGAGGAAGAACAAGAACGGAGTTCTGCAGTACCATGAGAGCAGTGGCAAAATGCCACCACACGGTCTCGAAAAAAACAAGAATTGCTCTCTCAGTTTCCGTTGTCTTGTAAGGCAATAACACACTGCCTATATCATGCGCGGCTGTGCGGCTGCTGGTTGGGCTCGAGAGAGAGAGAGCCCGAAAGGCACAACAGAACGAGTAAGTTCCGTATGAACGATCGGTGAGCGCCCCATAGCATTCTATATTCCCGATCGAAGCCGACAGGGCAACTGGCTCGTGATCCAGCGGTTAGAGGCGTAGACTTCTAATAAACAGATCGCGAGTTCGAGCCTCGGATGTTCCACACTTCGGGATTGGGTATGACTGGCTAACGAAGGCTAATATGCCAGAAATGGCCATTCCAGTCTCCCTCGTCTTTGTCGGTAATAACATACTGTTTTTAATTAGTTCTAGTTGTGGAACCGTCAGAAGGAAAGCTGGAATCTGAAACGTGTCAGAACACTCACCCAACGAAAGTGCCATCCCTCCTGTCCTGGGGACAAAACTGTGTCTCGGTCGAATGAGGACAGCCAAATCTTCTGTAGTGCTGGCGAGCATTTTTGCATTTCAAACTGAACTGTCAATGCAAACAGAAAAAATGTCCCTAGAGTGTGAGATCATCAGTTCTTTCCGAATATTTGAGAGGGTAGTTTTATGTCCGCGAGAAGCTTCCAGCTGATTAGTTTGGCCTAGGAAAATAAAGCAATATGCCACATAATCTTCAAAATAATTTCCGGTGAGGACATTTCTACCTGTCGAACCTTCTGGGTGACAGTCGGATATGTGGCAACACTGAGAAAACGGGTGGCAAAAACTCCTAAAATACGGGGAAGTGGTACAAGGGGTTTCAATGGTGAAGCAAACGAAACCTACAGACAGTTATTCTCGGGAACCAAAAGTAAGAAAGTTACACCTAAGCCATTAATTACTTTAAATACTCCGATAAAATGCAGAAACGCGAGCGCACAATTCGAAGTACTGGAAATTGTAGGCCGTAAACGGGTGTCGAAATATAAACCGAAGACATTGGTTAAATATTATAGGCAAACTGTTTCTAGCCCGTGGTGATCAATCACATTGAAGGAAAAAGCACGAAGAATATATCGATAAATTCAACTTTCGTGATAGCCGCGACTGAACAGATAACTGAAGTGCAAAACGTTTACAGTCTAACACCTGGCCCTAAGCCTATGTCTGAAACCTAACCTTAACCTTTAACCCAACCCTACGTAGAAAGCCAACCCTAACGGTAGCATTTGAAGTAGACGTGACGTGGAAGGAATGAAAGCAGGGGGTTAAATTAAGCCTACCCAAATGACATAAGTAGGCATCTGATAAAAGTAAAGACTATATAAGAACACACAACCAATCGTCACTTCCTTCTGACCCTTTTGGCTATAGTTCTAGGTGGATGCTTTGAGGTAGATTTGACATACATAGATCTCCCGAAGTCTTCGATGATGTTCCATTTCAATGTGTTTTACACAAAAGGGCACAGTTGGAACCTGAGAAAACGTCCTGCTCTAGAGGAAGGTATTCCGGCTTGGCCGAAAACACTGAGTATGTTTCAGAGATTGCCAGTCGACTTGGTCGAACACGACAGGCGACGTTCCTCGGGTATCAGTTAAACCCTCATTTTGCACGTTTATGATTGTCCCTTTTGAATATACGGCAGCCAGACACTGTTTACTGTCGACGCTAGACCTTAGCAAACCATTCAAAGTCTGTGTTACCGATATCGAAAATCACTTGAACGATGCCCGGGCCGCAGCGTCACTTCAAAGGCAATAACCTTCCCCCTCCGGGGCGGCCTCAGTTACCATTCATCGGCATTCTTTCGCCATTTGAAACTCGTCTCCCAATATCTACATTCACCTCCCAAGTCCTGAAATTGTGTTGTACTGAATTGGTAAGCCAGTCAGATAGGAGCATACATTCCCTATTTTCCGTTGGCAGCCTTAGCGGCAAGCAATACGTCCCCTTAAATGACTCATGCTAAACGCCGATTCTCCACTAACTATGAAACCATCGGTTCAAATGCCGGGTTGGTAGAAGTGTACACAGGAAGGAGGTTGGCTTGAGTTACATTGTAGACGACGTATGCTCAACACGACCGCTGGGGGTCTTCGACACACAGGCATAGACCTAAGACGAATAAGTTGACGAAATGCCAACACGCAGACAAGTATGGTGATACTGTGACATCACTGTTGTCTTACACACTGCGTAAAACCTTGCACACGGGAGCCACGTCCACCATCCACAGGCCTTTCTCCGGCCGGCTAACGACGGCGGTGCACGTGTGAGCGCCAAGATCGATCTCACGCCCCCCTGCCTGTATCATGTCAACGTCGTTTCGTCCACTCACGCAGTCGAACGATTTCAATTGACTCCCCGATAGTGAAAACATTAGTCGCCTCGGCGGCCATCCAACCCGAGATAGAAACGGCAAGACAAATTCCTTGACAGATAGCCTTGGGTCCTCCACAAGACTGACGAGCCAAACACAGGTCCAAACGCCTTCGAGGTCAAGTTTTCCAAAACTGGGAATTAGATCATCCCTCAACAGCCCAAACAACAAACGGCAGTATTTTGTCGGGCATGCTATTAGCACTTTTGTGGTAAGGCAGTGTCCACACGCTGATTGGCTGTGGTACTCACGCGATGGGGGGCCTAGCGGGCCTGTCAGCTCACATTGCGATACTGATTGGCTGGGAAAAAGCATGCCCCTCACTGACCGAGCGATCACAGGTCGTGAGATGACAGCTATGCGAGTCACTTCGTGTCGTGGACACAGTCATCGGGTGAGTGCTCTAATGACATGTTGGCACATTGTCGGCATTTGTTACTTCGGTGGCGAGCCTGCGGGCCAGCTTTTCACTTCATGGCGAATCCTTTCCAAAACCTCAATGGCACTAATTTTGTTTACTGCTATTTCGTTTTTATTTCTCTGTGCCACTTCACAATTACGACATTTTCGTCCGTAATCACTAATTTGTCGTATTCACGTCAATATTTAACTTATGAACGCGCATTGTGATAGACCTTTAGGGGGAAGGAAATATTGTCGACCAGGGGAACCCAACGCTAATGCATGCAGTTGAGTTAACACTAGCTAGGAGGCCACCGGAGTCCATAAGGTACTTTACGTCGGGTCAACTGTCACGCCAGTTTCACACATTACGTCAGTCAGTCGAAAGTAGCCAAAGGAAAGCCAGTCCGGTTGTGGGGACTGGATCTTAGAGGTTTCGTGTTATGGTCGCATTTTTCCACATGCCTTGCCTTCTCAACAGTACGTAACCGAAACCTCATCAACACGTGGGATTGATTTGTGTTATTGCGGTTAGTGCCGTGCGGCGCATTTTAAGATTAGACTTCGCGCCGCGCCAGTTGCCGCTTCGGATCTCATCCCAGTCGGCTTGGTCCGGACCCGTTAATGTCGAGAAAAGAGAGCGGAATTTGTTCAACTCTGAGCCTCCTCACGGACGGCAAAGTGCGCTCTAAAACGGCTGCGGCGCACCGCCAGTTGCTTTTTAGGAGGTTACTAAGTGATGAGATGACTCCGCCCAAATCAGAAATAAGGGTCAGATGGCAATGGTTCCTCCAAAATCTGATCTTGATAGCATCCTCAGGTAGTAAACATTTGTGGAGTCTCTATGTAAAAAATTAGCTCACGTGATGTAAAAATTCGGTGCGTGCGAAGATTCGTCGGTCACAACGTCCGCACTGCATTTTTCTTACTGATTGTCGATGCCTCTGGAATCTCAGTTATATTTCGTGGGAATCATGCATAAACGTATTCATTCTTTTGATCTTTCGATAGAAAATAAGGTCTTCTTCCCGTTTTATGCTCAAACAAACGGTATAAATCGGTTTCCAGAAAGATTCCAATTGTAAAATTTTTAAATTCTATGAAATGACCGTTCATAAAACGTCATGTCTCTGCATTTACCAATGTCGCTTGTAATGTTAACAATATTGTTCAAATTTACCGATTAATTCTCTGAACACTACATGGTCTCCTCCTTAAACAGCAGAAAAATATATTGTTTTACGTGCACGGAATATATACGATTTGTAGTTTGGAAACGCTAAATGCAATTGTAACGGCAGGTCGGGTTCAAAATTATTCGGAAATTTTAAATGTGTGAAAATCCCCATCACTATATTCAGAAGAGAGAGTGGCGAGTGAACGTTCCTTTCGGTAAATTCTCATCAGGCCAATACAATTACATAGGGCGGGGTACAGTGAGTGAAACAAAATGGATAAAAGTTAGGTTTTAAATTACAGGCTCGGCAAGAGCGGAAGGGCGCCGAAAGTTGTATGTGGTTAGTCAACCTTTGACCACGGTAAGCGCGGAGCCTGAACAAGGTTCTTTTGGGCGCATACGGTCGGTTTTCGTAACCTTATGGCGGCCGCTTCTGCTGTTGCTAGCAGGCGCTGGCCCAGTAGCTTAGGGTAGCTCGAGGGGACCTTGTAAATCACACGAAATGCTTCGGTGGGGTCCACACGATGCCCTGAGTCCACTGCATGCGCAAGGATGGCGCTGTCTATTCTCCTAGTTTCACCCTTTGCCAGCCATGCGGGAAGGTGCTCTCGTATTCTTTTGGAAAGGCGCCGACTCGTACGACCAATATAACCTGCTCCACAGGAGCAAGTGAATGAGTAGATGCACATTGAGGCGGTCTGAGGTGGCAGCCTATCCTTGCCTTCTCCGCGTAGAATAGGGTTAGTGGAGAATGATATGCGAACCCTTGCTGCTGGGAAGGTTCCCGAGACAGCTTGGTCAAGGCGTCTTCTTAGGAGTTCACCTGCAGCGTCTCCTTGGAAGGGGACTTTGAGGAACAACGTTTTCTTCTCGGCGGTTAGTGTGGTGGGTTTTGCAGGTCGTTCGGCAAAGTTCTTTGCAATGAACCTGTCAGGATACCCATTTTCGCGAAGCAAGTCCTGGATTTTTCTAAGTTCCTCCTCGATACTATCTGTCGAACAAATTTTTCTAGCCCTTTGTGCCAAACACCTGACTAGATTCCGTTTTTGTTGGAGAGGTACGAAACTAGCAAAGTTCGTGTATTGTCCAGAACAGGTTTTCTTTCGATAGACACTCCTTCGGATGCTACCGTCAGATCTCCTGTTTAGAAGGACATCTAAGAAAGGAAGCGAACCAGCCGACTCCATCTGCAACGTGAATTTGATCGACGGATGTGCCTGATTTGCAGCATTTAGGAGGGCAGCGACGTCGGTTTCTGTGGTTGCAATCGCAAAGATGTCATCAACGTAGCGACCATAATGTTTAAGCTTCTTGATCTGATCGCTTAGTTGAAATCTCTCCAGCTTGCCCATGAAGACGTCGGCTAAGAGAGGTCCAAGAGGCGAGCCCATGGCAACGCCGTCTATTTGTCTATAGAGTTGGTTGTCAAAAAGGAACTGCACATTTAATGTGCATCTAAGTAATTGTTCCTTGAGTGTTTTTGTCGGCAGTCCTATTTCTTGATGACTGGCAGATAGAAAATCACAGACGTAGTCAACTGTCTCGGAAACTGGGACGTTTGTAAAAAGTGATGCGGCGTCTACTGAGAACATCATCATGCCGTCAAGGTTGAGGTCTTTAATGTCGTCAATGAATTGAAAGGTATCTCGATAGCTGCGTGGTGCCAGCTGATGTTGTATGGGCTTGAGCTTCTCTGCTAACCACTTAGCTATCGCATGATACGGAGAGTTCCGCATATCTAAAATCGGGCTAACTGGTAGGCCTTCCTTATGGATCTTAGGTAGGCCATATAATCGGGGAATATGTGTCCCGACTGGCCGGAGGTGTTCAAGTCATGGTCACTTATGTGACCTCCTGTAAGGAGCCTTCTTAAACAGTCAGTCAATTTCGCCTCTGCGTCATCCGTGCAATCCTTCTCTTTATCTGTCTTTCTGAATTTCTTCTGGTCAGATAGTATGGACTCTATCTTCGCTACGTAGTCCGATCTGCTCATTATGACGACACATGTTCCCTTGTCAGGTCTAGTTACCAAGATCTCTTTGTTCCCTCGAAGTTCTTTTAATTTTTCCACGTGTGCTTTTGTCAGTAATCCTCGACTTTTTGGTCCTTTGTTTAGGTATTGGTAGCTGCAATTCACTAGTGTGGATTTGAAGTGTTGGATACTGTCTGTGGAAACGGGCAATAGATCGAATGTTTGGTTCCAGAGGTTCTCGAACTGCGTTTCCAATTCTAACTGATTTACTTTTCGACGAGGTATGCAAAATTTCGGACCAAGGGATAATGCTTCAAGTGATGTTTTATCAAGTGTCATATAAGAGTAGTTGTGTACGTACCGAGCTAGGTCTTTCGGAAACCGTGACTGGGCTTTCATCTCATGTAAACTCCTAAGAAGCGCAGAGCGTTTTGCCTCTCCACGTTTCTTTTCAATGGACTGAGTGTACATGTCGAATTCTTGTCTTTCCTCATCAGCCAGGATATCTAGGACGGCTGTGCGTTGACACACATGACGCTCATGTTCCTCTAATTTTACGAGGGTACTCTCCAATTGATTCTCGGCATATCTTTTCAGGGTTTCTGTGGTAATAACTGTACGACTACGACGCAGCGCTCTCCAATAATGGTCTGGATACTCATTTCTCTCAATACAGTCCCCGATAAACTTGGCCATCACTTTCGCCTCCGCAAGCTTGGTGTTAAAACGTAGGTACCCATTGAGTGCCTTCAACACCGTGGGGTCTTTGGACTGTTTTAAATGTGTGAAAAGTTGCTGAAAATCGAATTATAGCCTTCCTCCGAGTATTGAATTGGAAGAAAACGTGATTTTCTACCAAATAAACAAAGAATGAAAATGTTATATATGCTTTCCGTGAAATATCATTGAATGTCCAAGGGATTGAAAGTCAATGAGAAAATGCATACTATATAGATAGTCGTTTTTTACAGAGTGATGATTAGCTTTAAAAGCCTACTTAATTAATCTTATCAAAATGAAAACGCACTTCAGAATTTCGGTTGACATTTCATGAGTTAACCCCACTTCTGTGTATATACTTGAAACAAATAAATTTTTAGGGAAAACTAAAGAAATCAATTTTTAAATTGTTGTCTTTGGTTTCCCAGGTCGTCCTTAGACGTGGCGCAAGTGTGCAAAACAGTTAACATATAAAAATGCCTAGAAATCGATGTTTCCCTGTCACTCCTGCTGGCGCAATGTTCTGATTGACCAACGCCCTTCCCACTTTTCCCTTAGGCTGTTGTGCACTGCATCCAATTCTACGTGTCGATTGATGCATGCGTTATCAGAATGCATATCCTCTAAAAATTTGCGGCTTTTCTTAGATATGCAAACACCTATAATACGAGTCTTGTCCCAGACGAATTTGTGTCTAGTTTCCAGCGTATGCATGACAACTTGGACAAATGGTCTTACCCTTTTGCTGCCAGCTGATGTTCGTGTATTCATGCAGAGGCCGATTTCCCAGTTTGAGCACATTAAACCGCATTTCAGTTGAACATTGTATCGTATAACCGCCTTCCTTCTTATCTAATTAGCCAACCATATCCTTAGCTTGTGCAAGCTAGTTACGAAGAATAGTTGTCGGCTTGTGCGCCACATGTATTTGGTGCCCATACAGGAGTCTTTCAACTAGTTCGGACACATTCTTAATGCACGGAAGTGTCCGCCAGTTTTTTGGTTTGGGCGCCTGATCGGAACATTCTAGTTCATGTTTTTTCTTTTAACTCCTGTCGTCTCATGCATCGATGTACAAAATATATAGGATACCCATTCTGAGAAACCATTCTAATAACTCATGCATCAATCGACACGTGAAATTGGACGCCGTGCAAAACAACCTCAGGGAAATGTGGAAAAGGCGTTGGTCAATTAGAACATTGCGCCAGCAGGAGTGACAGGGTAAACTCGATTTTTTAGGCATGTTTATATGCTAACTGTTTTGCACACTTACCTCATGTCTGAGGAGGACTTGGGGAATCAAAGTCGACAATTTACAACTAAATGTGTTTATCTTTCACAAAAAACTTATTTGTTCCGTCTTATGCTTCTTGGGATACCTGTATTCAAATTAATACATATATATATATATGGATGTAGGCGAAAATGCTGACCCCAGGTGTTGAAATTGAAGAAGATGGTAAGGCGAGCTCTGGGGATGATGATTTATTCATCTGACGTTTCACACTCATACTCGAGCGCATCATCGGAGATAGGAAATATTAGAAAATTACACGGCTTAAATAGGTCCCTCTCGCTCTCGCCTGATAGGGCCGTCAACTTCTATCCTCATTGGGCCTCCCTGGTGCGTAGGTGGTGTTTGGCGGCCTCGTATGGTGCCGGTAGTTCGACGCAGCGGTTGATGGAGTTGGTGTCTGTTTTCCAGGCCTCGATTATTTCTCGCGCCAGTCTGTTTTCCGCTCGGCCGAGCACTTGGGCGCCGTCAAAGTCAAACCGGTGGTCATTTTCCAGACTGTGCATGGCGACGTGTGAGCGCGCATCTTTCCGCTTGACGGCTAAGGTGTGCTCATGTATGCGCGTTTTAAGTCGTTTGTTTGTCATGCCGCAATAGTTGGCCTGACAGTCTAGGCAGTTGACGCGGTAAATGACACCGGACATGTCCTCAGGGGGCAGCCTACCCTTTGGCTGCATGACTAATCGGCGGATGGTGGCTTCCGGTCGGTGTCCAACGCCCACGGTAAGTGGTCTTTGCATACTCTCAGTGGCCTCAGAGACGTTCCTCATGTAGGGCAAGACACGGAGTACCTCAGGTTTTTGGTCCGTCTCACCGTCAGTCTTTGTTTGTCTTTGGAACAGACATTTGTTTACGAAGCTACGTGGGTATCCATTGACAAGGAAGAGGTGCCACAGGGACGCACGCTCTTGTAGCTTCTCGGCCTCTGTGCTGCAGTGCGTGTTGATGCGGCGGAAAAGTGTCCGGACGCAACTCCGTTTATGCGACAGCGGATGGTTGCTGTTGTAGTGGAGTATTTTCTCTGTGTTTGTAGCTTTTCGGAAAACACCGGTCTGGAGGGTTCCATCTTCCTGCCTCGTTACCCGCACGTCGAGGAAAGAGAGCGTTCCGTCCTTTTCTTCCTCCATTGTGAATTGGATTTGTGGGAAGATGGAGTTTAATTCTCCTCTGAAGGCCTCCTTCGCATCTCGGTGTAGGACGACAAAGGTATCGTCCGCATAGCGCATCCAGAATTTTGGCTTGTAGGACCGGAATACATGAGTTTCCAGTTCCTGTAGTACCGCCTCAGCCAGGTAGCCGGAGATCGGGGATCCAATCGGGGTTCCCTGGATTTGCTCATAAGTATGGCCGTTAAAAGTGAAATACGTGCATAAGCAGTAGTCCAGTAACTCCATCGCGTGCTTCCTTTTAAACGGTTTTTCTTCATCGTCGTACTTTCGTTCCAGTAGCTCACTGATGACTCTCATGGCCAAATCCTTATATATATATATATATATATATATATGTGTAAATGTTAAGTAAGCGAGTGACACTAACTGTTGTGGTAAAGATCTTGCCAGATCGCACTCCGACCGCCTTTGACAGCGTGCCACACCAACGTCTCCTCTACAAGCTCAGCCGCATAGGGGTAAGAGGCAAGCTTTTGAAGTGGGTTGAAAACTTTTTGGTCGGTCGGTCCCAGACTGTTCGTCTTGGTGGCCAGCACTCGGCAGAGGTGACGGTTACGAGCGGAGTACCTCAGGGCTCCGTTCTTGGCCCTATCCTCTTCCTCATCTATATTGATGACTGTATCCATGGATTGGACTGCAAGATTGCCATGTTTGCTGACGATATAAAGCTTTGGACCGTCATCCGCAACGAGGACGATGAAGCAAATTTACAGGCAAACTTAGACCGACTCGAAAAATGGTCAGGCCACTGGCTCCTCCCATTTAATGTTACCAAATGCAATATTCTGAGGATTGGCAGAACCAGCTCTGCGCACCGGCAGACGTACTATCTAAATCACACACCGCTGCCACTAGTAGAGGTTCAGAAAGACCTAGGGGTGTGGATAACATCTTCACTAAAGCCATCATTCCACTGCTTGAAAGCAGCGAAATCCGCAATGTCCAGCTTCTATCTCATTAAGCGGGCATTTGCCAAGTTCGATGAAGAGTGCTTCCGCAAGGTCTTCGGGATGTTTGTGCGCCCACAGTTAGAATTTGCCATTCAGGCCTGGAGACCCTGGACTGTTAAGGATCCTACCACCCTCGACATTGTCCAACGACGGGCAACCAAGCTTGTCAGAGGTCATAAAAACCTACCTTACGAAACCAGACTTTCAAATCTTAACCTCTTTTCCCTGGACTACAGACAACTCCGTGGCGACTTAATTCAAACGTTTAGAATGTTACGGGGTTAGGACTGCTGCCTCGCATCCGGCGACTTCTTTGAGCTGGCCACCACTACTAGCTTGAGAGGACATCAGAAACTAACGAATTCCCCCTGTGCCGCCCGCCCCATCCAACGTTTTATGTTACAAAGCATGCTACTCCCTATATTTTAGTTACATTACGTTTTACAATTTTCGCTATCTCCTGACCGCCACATATGCGCTTGCTTTGATATTACTTGGTCCATTCATTGCCGTACTGGATATTGTACAATTCTGACATAGAAGGCATTCACAGACAAATTCATACCAGTGACCAATGCTTATTGTATGTAATTACTTACCTAATTTTTTTCACACTTGCTTACACATT